TTCAGACACCATTATATTCATGTGTAAACTTATTTCACTCTTTCACCCCTCTTCCTTGCTCGGTGTAGGAGATGAGGAAGCTTCAGGAGCAGCTGATGGCCCAACAGGTTCATGTGGATCTGGATGTGTCTAAGCCAGACTTAACCACTGCCCTGAAGGAGATCAGAGCTCAGTTTGAGGTCATGGCCACTTCCAATATGCAGGAGACTGAGGAGTGGTATCGCTCAAAGGTTACATGAACACACACACATGCGTCCTCTTTAGAGCACTTTCTTTATTAGATTATTAGATTAAGATTATTTGTAATATAATGTAATATGATATAATACAATTTTGTTTCTACACCATTTTTAATAATAAATAAATAATTTATTATTATAATTTATTTCATTAGTTTGCGGATCTGACCGATGCAGCCAACCGTAACACAGAGGCTCTGAGACAAGCTAAGCAAGAGGCCAATGAGTATCGTCGGCAGATTCAGGGCCTGACCTGTGACCTGGAATCTCTTCGTGGATCTGTAAGTATTTACCAATCTTGTCACCAAACTTATTCAGAACAACAGCAAAGAAAATTTCACCCATGACTGTAGAGCACAGTACTTGACAGCAAAGTCATCATCCTCTCAAAACCATTTCAAACGTCTCACGCTGTCCTTAAGAACGAGTCCCTGGAGCGTCAGCTGCGAGAGATGGAGGAGCGATTCGCCATAGAGACGGCCGGTTACCAGGACACTGTGGCCCGTCTGGAGGATGAGATCCAGATGCTGAAGGGGGAGATGGCCAGACACTTGCAGGAGTACCAGGATCTGCTCAATGTCAAACTGGCTCTGGACATTGAAATTGCCACCTACAGGAAGCTGCTCGAAGGAGAGGAAAGCAGGTGAGGAGAGTAGAGAAATGGCAACAACCACAATAATTGGACGAAATTAATTCAAATATGATTTAATGAATATCTTCCTCCTCTTCTAGAATCACTGTTCCGGTGCAGAACTTCACCAACTTACAGTTTAGAGGTGAGTAAATGCATCATCCAGTTGATGATTCCTGCATAAATGAAATGTTATTATATAATCATTTGTGTGTGTGTGTGTGTGTGTTTGTGTGTGTTGTTAGACATCAGCTTGGACACTAAGCTGACTCCTGAGGCACATGTGAAGAGGAGCATAGTTGTGCGAACTGTTGAGACTCGTGATGGAGAGGTAAACACTAGGAGGCGCTCTTCATCAATCTTTAAAAAAAAAGTTTTTGACATCCACTTTACATGAATACACACTTACTTACTTCATCAACTGATGGTAACATTTCCCCCCCAACAATCTCACAACAGAATTAAATGGTCAATTCTTTCAATTATTTATTAACTGATTCATTCATTCTTTCATACATGGCATTACAACAGAGGTGCCCAAAATCAAACTTGAATGAGGATCATGGGCCAAAAGTAAATGCTGTATTATATCCAACACTACAATATTTTAGTAACACTTTACAATAAGGTCCCATTAGTTAACATTAACGCTAGTTACTAAAATATAAAAATAAAAACTATTCATTGTTAGTTGATGTTAGTCCATTAAATAATATTAAAAGAACTTTACATTTTAATATTGTGTTTGTAAATGTTAAAATTAAGATTAAGTTTAATACATGCTTTAGAAGTACTTTTTTGTTAGTTCATGTTAACTACTGCAGTTAATGTTTCAATCAAATTCACTTAGATTCTCTAGATTTCAATGCAAAAAAAAAAATCAATTATAAATTAAGATATGCTTCAGTGTCATTTTTGTCTTCTATTTTCCCACTACTATGGCATGGTGGGCCCAATGAAAGGTCATTAACTGATTTATACTTAAATCAGCCAGCTTTAACCCTGGGCATCTCTGCATTACAGATTTGTTCATTTATCTTTTTTTTATGTGTGCATTGTTTTCTGTTTTAACTAAAACGAACCTATGCAATCTCTCTTTCAAAGATCATTAAAGAGTCCACTACGGAGAGGAAGGATCTGCCGTAGTCTTAGACACGGGATTGGATGCAACTGAAGAGTTCATCACTAATGCTTCTGGATGCTGTGATCAAATATGTGATTTCTTGCCAACTTTCTCTCCTAGTGTCTATAGTTCCTAGGAACTATATTCAGTTATATTAGCCACTATAAGCAATAAGCAACTACGCTTTGATCTCTTTCTCTCCCTGGGATTCTCTCTTTATCTGTTCTTTATCTGCACCCTTCATGTAATTTGCATGATATTAGACTAGTCTTCACTGATTGTGCCATAAAAAGTCATGGTTGGACAAATGAGAAAGTAAAAGTAGAAAGTAGAACAAGATGTAGCTAGTGGTCAGAGCGGGTGCACGGGGAATATAGTTTCTTTGTCAAGCACAAACTGTTGAGAATAAATTCTGAAATGTATTGTATTCTTTAAGTAGATAAAGAAGAACAGGATTGGAACTGGTAGATTTTGAATCTGAATGGTCAGTGTTAAGGTAAGGCAAAAGGAAACTGTAACAGCAAGATATTTGTGAGAGTTTTAAACGGATGATGGATTTTGTCAGTGGTGCTATATGAACATTTTACCCCACATTTTCCCACGCTCACTGTGTAAGCACAATGTTTTTGCACAGTAGCTAACTAAAGCATCTCTTTGGACCCAGGTTAAAATGCTTGTTGACTGCTAATTGACCAGTAGAAAACATATTAATGGTACATTTTAATCAACAAAAAACATTATCTTACTGAACTCATTGTTATGTAAACATCTGACATGATTGTCCGATTGATTGTCTTAAGGTACAGTCACCTT